ATCAACAACCAGTAGCAGTGGCTGAGATGACAAGGACCCAAAGAAGAAGGTTCATTCGCAAGAATGCACAAGCACGTCAAGGCAAATTACCAATGGCTCGTAGAAACATACTGGGTGCGACACAATGGAGGAGAGAAGGTAGTCTTCAATAAAATCTCAAGCTGGTCAACTCCATGACCACAGGATTCAAAGTGGGCGTGGTAGACAAAGGCAAGAAGGTTCAAGTTCAGAGTGATGTCAAAGCTCGAGAAGGGGTTGATGACAACTTCGAAGGAGAAGAAGGCGAATATGAAGATGAGTATGCTGAAGATGATATGCTTGAAGATGATCTTCCCGACTCCAAGTCCAACAAGGAAAGACGTAGAAAAGGCAGAAAGAGTTGTCACAGTCTCGTAAATTTGGCTAAGTCTGAACAAAGGAGCATTTCACCCACCATGAAGAATGGAGTAGACAGCATCTCCAAGAAGACACAAGAAGTCAAACCCTCACATGGATTTTGTAAGCATGAGATTATGGACAAGGGAGGATTGGGGGGCAAGTCCATGTCAATGAATAGTAAGTACTCGACACTAACCACAAAGAGTGTACATGGGGGGCATGTATATGAAGTCACCATACACACCAGCCAAACATGGCTGCACAAAGAATCAATGGTGGTTGAGTGCTAAGTGTAGGGGCCAACAAGGTTTATATATTGAAAGACGAAGACAAGGAAGCTACACGAGTGGTTGTCAACTTGTCAAGCCTAGACCTGGTCCCCAACATCGTGAGGAGATTAAGCATTTATCAAGTGGGAGGAAATCAAGGCAGAAGAATAATCATGATAGCCTTGACATGTCAAGTAAGGTGGCCCAAGCAAAGAAGCATGAGGCCTCATGCAAGGCCACCAAAACTAGACAGGCTCACTATGTACCAACCATTAGTAAGCTAGAAAATTCAAAGTTAATGTATGAAGATTCATCTCCCATGGAGGAAAAGAGTCATGTGGTCTATGGATGGCATATCTGGTTTGATCCATGGACTTGGCAATGGGTGTACACCTTTGGTACATTGATTGTTGTCAAAGGCTATGGAGAGCAGTGACATTTGTCACTTCTTGCCATATAAAATAAATAAATTTATATAATGTACTTATTATATATTAGTTATAAAAAAAATATTGTAGCCAACCATGGCTAAAAGAAAAGATAGAAGGAAAATATCAAAGTGAAAATCTTGAGTCGGAGTTGTTAGACTTCGACATGAAGATCTTGCTACCAAGTTATTGTGATGGCTTGACATGACGAGCCATACATCAGGCCATGCCATGCCATGTTATCTTGTCCCGAGTAGCTACGGCCTGGGGGGCATGATGGCTTGAAAGTGGTAGTAGAGGAGTGGTGACCATAATGTCTCTACCAACATAAAAATGAACATTATTTTTTCTAAGGCAAAAAGGTAGACGGCTTGACTTGTCGCGAGGGAACTGTCTAGCCTTGTGACGAGGTGGGATGAGCCAATCTATGCCAAAATAGGTGCGAAAAATTCTAAGTTATTCTCTCAACCATGTGGCCAAGTACAAGATGTCAATGAGGGTGTAGGTGATAAAGTGAAGTTGGTGTCTCGTTGAATGCATTAGGTGGCTTGACCATTAACAGCCAAAATTTGGCTAAGGCATGAGACAAGTTTTGACGTCGAGTACCATCCTACCGTGTTGGCTTGACGTGAAAGCCAAATTTTGGCTAAGGACGAACTAGGTGTGTTGAGTAAACACTAGCCAGCTTGTTACTTTCGCTAGCATGGTGGTGTTCAACTACTTAGTCCATAATTCTTATGCACTAAGTAGTTGGGGGGCATTTGTTTACACTACAAAAACAATCGTGTACCACATTGATTATTTACAAGACATTAACTGTCTTTATAAGGTCAGATCAACAATAACAATTAATGTTATTTAAACTGGGCCTACGATACTAGATTTTTAAACCCAAATGATTAGGCCTGACATGATGCGTGAGAATAAACTAAGTCTGGTGCCTCATCGCGACAAGCCTCCTCGCGTCAAGCCTCCTCGCGTGGTGCCTCATCGCGACAAGCCTCCTCGCGTCAAGTTGGTAGACCCCCTTGTCGCGACAAATCTCCTTGTTTAAACACATCGCGAGTCTACAAGATATGTGGGGAGAATGTCACAAAATAAACTAAGTTCAAGCGCCAAGCCTCCTCGCGTCAGGCCACTTCGCGAGTCCGCCAAGCCTCTACTATGTCTAAGCGCCAAGCCTCCTCGCGTAGAGTTTGGTAGACCGCCTCGTCACGACAAGCCTCCTCGCGCCAAGTTTGGTAAACCACCTCGTAGCATTGTCATCATGTTTGACAAACCGCCTCGTCGCGAGATCTGGAATAGCCATGGTAAAGGAAAGGGCAAGTAACTAGACGTCAGTTCCAAAAGGGAGAGCCGACGGTTTGATTGAGAAACTGTCAATTACTCCATGTTCAAGGACACGTCAACCACGTCCGGGAAAGAAGGGAAGCGGTTCTTTTTGGAAGTTACTCTCCAGACAGTTTTCTACGACGGTTATCACCTCAAGCCTATAAATAGGAGGAAGAGTTGTCAGAGAAGGGGTCGCCAAATTCACACCAGACAACACAATGTTTAATTTTATCCCTTTATCCTTTCCTCTGCAATTTTAGTCGTAGTCGTAGATCTGGAACTCTCACTGAACCTCCATAGGAGTAGCAGTAACTTAATGTAGATATGTCTCGAGAGTCGTGTAAACATCGATCACCCTCGTTCAAACTGTGTTTGAAGAGGTGTGAACTGTGTTAAGTTAATCGTTGTTCAAAGAAGTCAAGGTGCAATCAATATCAATTCAACGCAAGTTTTCTCGCCGGACAACAAGTATGAATTACGAACTATTATCATATCACCATAGTATACCTTACCAATTACCATGAACATGTTTTCTCTCTTCACCATAGGATTCTAAAGCAGCAGTTGCAGCCTGTTGCAAGGCGAGTTCAGAAGCTGCTGCTATCACCACCGTGACCGTTTGTTTATCAGCCAAGATTGAGAAAGAAACCGGTAAACAGAACAGAGCCATAACTTCTTTTATTTTGTTTTTTAAAAGTATCTCTTTTGAATTTTTTGTTGTTAATAACTGAACAGCTATCAGCCACCTGATGTTGACTGTCATTGAAAGACATAACCGTCCGTCAACTATATCCAGCTTCATTAATTTATCCTCAACAGAGGAACAATACTGTCCACCTCTGTTATTATTCCATATATAAGTTCTACACGTAGGCCATAGGTCACCAGGAATTGGGGAAAAGGAACCAAAAATAAAAATAAAAATTAGAAGTCATATTTGATCGCTGAGACTATTAAATCATGTCATGTTTAGTCACTAGAAAAAATTAATATCAATTTTGGTCATTTGAATTATTGAAACATGTCACATTTAGCCACTCTCCTGTTAGTTTCCGTCCAACTCTGTTATCATTGCTCAAGCAAATAGACAAGGATTTTATGAGGATGAGAGTGAGTGTGAGTATGATGATGTGCGAGGGGTGTTAAAGTCGATCCTAACCATCTTATGCGATTTTCTACTCTTAACTATTCTCTATATTAAATTAATTCGGTGAGGTTTCAGGTTGCTTATTTGTGTGTTTATGGTATGTACAAGAATAAATCTATTGATTTATATGTGTTTATTTAATTGACAAACTTATCTTAGAAATTAATTAAGTTATATGTGGTTGACTGTTATTTCTCATTGCATTGTTCTTAGTATATGATGTTTTAAGTATTTATTTTATTATACCTTAAATTATCATGGTCTTAAGATTTTAATCTACAATTCTGATTTTACCTTCATTTTTTATTTGATATAAATCACAATTTTGACTGCATTGCCTCTCCTAATCTGAGTCATGTTCTACTCCCTCGCCATCCTCCAATCGGACTCCCCCTTTTCCTTCATCAGTGGCGGCTGGCATCTCTGCAGTTGGAGATCTACATTGGCGACATAGATCTCCTCAGCCAACAACTCTCGCTTGGACAATGATCTACTCCCAATTTTTCCCCCTTCCCAATTCTGGCAATTTGCTTGATTTGGTTGAACCTTTCTTTGCCCGGCAACTAGGAAGGTGAAACGATGAGGAAGGGAGCGGCGATGCTCTAAATCTGGACCTTTCCAAACTGGCATGCTAGCCAGAATTGGGTTTAGGATAGGGTCAGTAACCAATGGTTACTGACCTATGAGTAACTAAATCTGGACCTTTAGATCTAAGTGGGTCCAGAAAATTCATATCTAAGGGTTGTCAACTAAAGGCATTTTATTTTCCCTAGTTTTCTTAATCGGCTCTTATCTTCTTCGTTCTAACTCGGTTTTCAATTTTTTTTGCACAGATGGAACGAGTTCGTTGTGCTCTACAAAATGAGATCAATTTTCAATATATTTCGAGAAACTTTTTTTTTACCAACTACATACCATATGGTAACTTCTTCGTTTTTAACTTTTAAGTCGTTTTTGATAATGTTTGCTCAGAAGGAACGAATTCATCATGATCTATATTGGATCTATAAATTTCTGAGTGAAAAAATTACTGGATAAAAAATTACCATACTTTACCACTATGGTATGTGGGTGGTAACTTGTGGTAACTTGCAGTAAACAATGATGAAAGTCGTAAATGATAGTTAGTATACTCCTACTATCATGTATTCAACCTTCTTACCATATTGGTATGTTCATACCATCATGGTACGCTTTCTTACCATATGGTATTAAATATTAGCATACCATATGGAATGACTATAAAAAATTATTCAATTTTTTTTGTACTAAAAATATATCAAAGTGGATATCATTTTAAATAGCACATTTAATCTGATTTATCTGTGAAAAAAAATTAAATTTTGACTTAAAACGAGAGAGAAATCATCCGTTAAAAATTTAAAAAAAATAGATAAAAAACTTTCCAAAAGAGAGAGGATATTGATGTCATGCTAACTTAGCAAATGAAATCACCTAATAAGCCCTCTTTCCTCTTAATCAATCCCGTCGTACAAAATCCTGGCCGGCGTCACGGCGTCACCACAAACCAGTCTCCGGCAGCCCCTTAGCGGGAAAACCATCGTCGCCGCCGTAAAAGATTTCTTCACCTCTCTGCAGACCGCCAAAAGGACAGTAAGTTTCTTTTTTACACCCCCAATCTCCTGTCCTTTTCCCGTCATTTTTGCAGCGTGAACCTACCCACCCGCCCGCCACCGCAGCTACCCCAAAATTGTACTTTCTTTTTTATTATTCTACTTGTCGTTTCTTTCTCCCTGATCTCAGGCTCTCTAATTCCCACATTTCTTTTCTTATTTATAGCCGATTACAACGATGCATTGAGCCGCACCTGTGCCGTTTCTTCTTTCTTCTTCGCTCTAACTCTCCCCCCAACTTGTTCGGATCTTTTTGAGCCGTACTGGGATACTGTTGCTGAGGGGGGAAAAGGGTAGGGTGGGAGCTCTTTCTGCTCGTTATTTTCACTGTCACTAATACATACATGGCGGCAGAGAATTGGGTGAGGATGGTGACGGCGCAAACGCCCACCAACATTGCTGTGATCAAGTACTGGGGAAAGAGGGATGAGAACTTGATTTTGCCCGTCAATGACAGCATCAGTGTCACTTTGGATCCGGCCCATCTCTGCACTACCACCACTGTTGCCGTCAGCCCCAGCTTTGATCAGGATCGGATGTGGCTCAACGGCAAGGTAAGCAAAAGAACTCCCCTTTCTCTGCTCCCGAATTTTCCTTTTTGTCCCCCTCATCTGGGTTTGTGTTAATTTCTCGAGATAATGGGGGCTTGCGAAGTATAATGTATGGAGGAACCTGAAGACTTTTCATTTTCTCGGTTCTTTTACTACTTACCCTTTCAATGTGGAATTGCTATTCTGGATGTAGCCTTGATCAGAACAATGCTGATGTTGTTTTATGTTTCATTTGGAATCTGGGCTGCCTGTTTGTTAACTTAGATGATCGAATTGTCGTGTTTTAAGTGGGGCAGACCTAATAGATTGAGCTCAAGTTACTCCCTTGTAATGAAAGATTTTATTTTCTCTTCTTTTGTGTATAACTTGGTTGCCTAAGAATGTGAGCAAAAGCCAAGGAATGGATGCAGAGGAAACAACTATAGATGCAAAATATGTTTGAATAAGCATCTGTTAGATATAGAAAAGTTTCAAGATAGAGCATAATTGTTTCATTACTGGTGCATCTAAGCATGTTGACCTGTCTGATCCCACGGATGGCGATACTAGTTTGTAAATCATGTCATTTTCTGTGTTTCCTGGTTTGTGTAGGAGGTTTCCCTTTCCGGAGCCCGATATCAGAATTGTTTACGAGAAATTCGTGCCCGGGCTTGTGATGTTGAGGATGAGGAAAAAGGTGTAAAGATAGCAAAGAAGGATTGGGAAAATTTGCATGTGCACATTGCCTCCTATAACAACTTCCCTACTGCTGCTGGATTAGCTTCATCTGCAGCTGGCTTTGCATGCCTTGGTAAGTGTCAACTTAATCGATCCCGTCTCTTTATGTTTTGAGCTATTTTTATCCTGTTCCATTTTCAATGTGCATCTTGTATTCAGCAAAATATACCTTTTTCATATAAACTATGCTCTCTTCTTCCTCTGCAGTTTTTTCCCTTGCAAAGCTAATGAACGCAAAAGAAGATAATAGTGATCTCTCTGCTATTGCTAGGTAAGATTTGAGGGTTCTTTTGTTTTGTTTCTTTTTTCAAGTTGCAAACTGCTAGGTTCTACAACAATGTGAACCATTATGACTGTCACTTTTAGTGTTGCTGAAGATGTTTGCCGGAACTTATCCCTCCTTCACTGTTTATAATTTGGCGGTTGTGTTGCCTGTTATTGTGTTTCTTTCATAAAATGAGCTATGCCCTATGGACGGCATGACTTTATAACCAGATATTTGTTTGATTGTTAGGTTCTGATCTGCCCTAAGTTTTAAGATGTAATTTTTTTAATGTAACCTCAACTTAATGAAACATTTTGTTCAGACCATAAAATGAAATCCTTGTAGGGGCAGTTTTAATTTTTTGTTGCTAGTTCAAAGTACAATTACTTGAGTTACATCTATTTACTTAAGAAGTCTAGTATAGAAGACTTGGAGGTATTCAGAATGTAAGACTTCATTGATCTTTGATAATTTTTTATCCCTTACTTCCCAGGCAAGGTTCTGGGAGTGCATGTCGCAGTTTATTTGGTGGATTTGTGAAGTGGATCATGGGAAAGGTGAAGTGGTTTTTCCAATTTCTGTTTTGTTTACTTGTGATGCAAAACAAACACAGGGAGGTACTGACATTGCTTCTTCCTGCTGAAATAATTTTAAGGCTAAGGATGGGCATGACAGCCTTGCTGTTCAGCTAGTAGATGAGAAACACTGGGATGAACTTGTTATTATTATTGCTGTGGTATGTTTCTCTCTTGCCTAGATCTATGTCTTTGCATTAGACACTACACTCATGTATTGTTCGTGATTATCGCTCTTTTTGGAATTAAGAACTTTTTAGGATATTCTTCATAGTGATAAACCTATTCGCTAGGTTTTCAAATTCCAATTTCATAGTTATAACAGTTAATTGATTGGCGCTCCTATTGCTTTTGTAATCTTGGTTTTGATTCCAAGTGCAGGTAAGTTCACGGCAGAAAGAAACAAGCAGCACTTCAGGAATGCGGGAAAGTGTTGATACTAGTTTACTTTTGCAGCATAGAGCTAAGGTAATTTGTTAAATCAACCAATGAATATCCTTCTCCTTAGCATTTCATGCTAGTGTAATGTGTGTTATTCACCAGTCACCACTCTTCTTTAAGTTACTTTGTTCTAGTTGAAGCTCGCTTTCATTTAAGGTTCTGGATGTTGTCTCACTCCATTTCTTTAATAGGAAATTGTACCAAAAAGGATTGTCCGAATGGAGGAGGCCCTAAAAACCAAGGATTTTGGCTCTTTCACGGAACTAACCTGTGCTGATAGCAATCAGTTCCATGCAGTCTGCCTGGACACCTCTCCCCCAATATTCTACATGAATGATACATCCCACAGGTAAGAGTCAATCTACTGCTTCACTTCATCCATGATCCAACATGGTTGAGATCTGTCAATTCTTAGGCTAGTTGCTCTTGTTCAGAATAATCGTGCTTCGTTATTGAAAGGGAGTATTTGTTCCAGGTTAATTAGCTGCGTTGAGAAATGGAATAGATCTGAAGGAACACCTCAGGTTTGGTCCACTGTCCTATCTCCTATCATGATACAATTTTTAGAACAAGCATTCCTTGACAATTTCGATAGTGCCTTCCCAAGTCATCAACATAGTTGTTCCAATTTATTTGGCTGAAGTACACCCACTTATGCAAAGATGAAAAGATTTCTAGATGAGATACAGGCAGATAATGGAACAAATATGACTGAGTGTGATCTTGTAACAGGTAGCTTACACCTTTGATGCTGGTCCAAATGCTGTCCTCATTGCACGCAATAGAAAGGCTGCTGCTCAGCTCATGCAAAAGCTGCTTTTCTACTTCCCTCCAAACTCTGATGCAGACCTGAACAAGTAATAATTTCTCTTTGAGAACGATCTGCCATTTTTCCACTCTTGGAACACTTACTATGCTAATATACCCCAACAAAATAGAAAGCTTGTGCTTCCATTCTGATCAAAATCGATTTCGTTCTGTTCTCTTCCTTCAGTTATGTGATTGGAGACAAGTCAATTCTTAAAGATGCCGGGATTGAAGGGATAAAGGACATCGAAGCCCTGCCACCACCTCAAGAAAACAAGGATGCTCTGAGATACAAAGATGGTGTTAGCTACTTCATCTGCACGAGACCCGGCAGAGGACCTGTGTTGCTCTCCGACGAAACTCAGGCTCTTCTGGACCCGCAAACTGGGCTGCCCAAATAAGTCAAATCAATCTGAGTTCTCTCTCAGTGGCACTTCAATCATCTTTTTCTGTTGGTGATAGTATTGTTGGTTGGGATAGTCTGTTGTGTGAACACATCCCTGAATTGCTGTTAGCTAGCTGATGCTACAATGTATGTGTTTGTTGTATTGTAATTTTCTTTTTTTGTTGCTTACTCAGCCATTTTTGGGGAATGACCAAGTCAAGTCAGGTTGTTCCTCTGGCGAAGAAGCTACTTTGTTTGGATTTCAACTCACTAGTTATTTTGATTCCGACTCCGATTCACTGAATAATAAATTCTTCAGCCAAGCATTTACGTGGTTCACCATTTCTGAGTGTCTGTTCTAAGTTTCTTGTTGCTTTCCAGGATCAGTAGGCGCCCTTTTGGGATTTGAAAAATATGTTGCAAGGTTGTAAATAGAATGATGAAAGTATGTATGAAAATGATGAAGGATATTATTTATTAGTGATTTATTTGTTTATACAGAAGGATGGCAACAGGCACCTTTTGAATTTTGATCAATCATTACTCCCATTCAGTTCATTCAGCACAGATCCTGAGACTCTTGAGATAAACAAATCCTGTTAGTTGTTCTAATTATATCATCCATGTTCTAAGCATGCTGTTACTTCTCCCTCTGATAAAGATGTCAAGTAGGCAATAAGCCCATAGGATGCGTATCATATTTAAACTTCAGGATATAAGATTTAGTAGGGCTGGGCATGCGGGCGGATCATCCGCGGGTTTGGGCCGACCCACCCGCATTTGACCCGAATTTCGTTAAGTGGGTGGGTCTGTGGGTGGGTGACGGGTTGCGCTGGGAGCCATTCGCTGGGTGGTGGGTGGGTTGTGGGTGAGTGTGCCGGTGACCCGCTCAACCCAACAGCAAAAAAATCAAAGTCGTTGGCGCTAGAGAGAGGAGAGTGGAGACGTTAGATATAAACTCGGACTGCTCCTGGAGTTTGAACCTCAAAGCCAACCTTCCAAATAGAGATCCTCTCTTCTTCCCTTTACTTTTTCCTCTAATTCTTGTGCCTAGATCAACGCTCTTTCCTTTGTGAAATTATTTTCCTTAGTTCCTTGCACCTAATAATCGTCTCAATCTGTAGATAACTCTTTCATAATAGAATTTCTATCCAATTTAAGAACTAATTCGACATTTTTCGCCCTATTTCAACTTCTGGTTTCCCTCGATGATTCTCTTCACCTATTATCATGTCAAGTTGACTCCTTTATATTATATAAATTGTGATGTGGGTGAACCCACAAACCCACCCGCATCATCCACCATCCGCCCGACCCAACCCGAGACTAAATGTGGGTGGGTGGTGGGTTAAAAATTATCAATCCGTTTAAGCGCGGGTGGGTGCATTTTATGGTCAAAATCCACCCGACCCACCCAATGCCCACCCCTAAGATTTAGGATGATGGATCTTAAAAAGGAGGATTTTGAGATAAAAGAGACCACTGCAAGTGAAAAGAAGAACAACAGACATGTGCAGAAACTCCCGACCCTCAAGGTGAAAATCGAATTGAAGGAAGAATGTATAGCGACTAAGAGGTGTAGAAATTTTTTGTCAAGAATGGGATTTGAACCCATGCCATGAAAAGAAGAACAACAGACATGTGCAGGAACTCCCGACCCTCAAAGTGAAAATCGAATTGAAGGAAGAGTGTATAGCGACTAAGAATGTAGAAAAAATTTGTCAAGAATGGGATTTGAACCCATGCCCTTTCGGACCAGTACCATGCCATGAAAAGAAGAACAACAGACATGTGCAGGAACTCCCGACCCTCAAAGTGAAAATCGAATTGAAGGAAGAGTGTATAGCGACTAAGAATGTAGAAAAAATTTGTCAAGAATGGGATTTGAACCCATGCCCTTTCGGACCAGTACCTGAAACTGGCGCCTTAGACCAACTCGGCCATCTTGACATTAACAATTAGAAAGCCGTAACTTTTTAAATAACAACAATCTACGCACTAACACTCAATGACAACATAATTATAGTAAATGTACTAAACAACAATGCAAAACCCAGTATGAAGCCATGATGAAACTATACCAGTCGGCGGTGGGTTTGGTGAGAAGGAAGTCGTCTAATCCGACGTCGCCGGAGGTGGGGAAACCTTTGGTGGATCGGAGTCGGTCCATTTTTGTAATTTATTAAATTTTTATAAATTATTAATATGATAAATTATATAGAAAAAATAAGTGCAATGATGATGTGGAAATAATTTTTTTTTTAATTTCCATGTTATCTAGTTAACGGTCAAACTTTATAGTTGACTGCCACGTAGGACAAACTTAATGGAGTGTAACGGTCGGTGACCAACCGTGAAACGATTCGTAAAGTTAGTGGCGAATAAGAAAGAAAAGTAATTCGGGTGGCAACGTGAAAGATTTGTATAATTTGAGTGACCAAACGTGTAATTTAGCCTTTAAATAATTGAGAACTCAAATTTTAGCAACAATTGCTGTATATATTGGTCGAGGTTAAGCTACAATTACAATTATGGGTATGTTATAAACATTCTTGATCCAAAACTAATATTTTTTTATGTTTTGCAAAGTCTCACTATCTTTTCCATTTTTTTAAGAATATTTTAAAATACAACAAACCTTTAAACTATCAACAGCTCTACTCTCATTATGTTACCAAACAATTATTCACAATTTCATCATATGTTTAATTTTGAAAGGTGTTATTGATGACACTTTTTTTTACAATGATGATACCATATCATTATTTTATGGGCCATAAGAAAAGAAACATACAAAGGGGTCGTTTGGAAGTTGCGATAGTTTTGTTGAGATTGTCATTATGCATGTATTGTTTACAATGCATCATTTTTTTGTTTTTTTAGCAGAAACAATACATGGATTGTTTCTGTGATGTGGCAGAAACTATCACTCATTTTGAGTGATTGTTATATCTCAACTTTTAGTTGTGATTGTTGAGATAGTTGAGTTGAGATTGTTTTGTCTCAACTTTTAGCTGATGCGACATACACAATCACACATACCAAACGTTGTATTCTACAATGCATCAAATTCGACAATACATGTATAATATTATACATGCATTCTCAACAATACATCTATTTAACAATCGCAACTTCCAAACGACCCCAAAGTTTTGGAAGAACCCAAAAGAATTGAAACGTTGAGCTATAACAAGAGAAGGGTATCAAAGAAGAGCACTATGGTGACACGAAAAGAAACTGAAAAGACAGATTGACACCTAATGTTATTTCACGGCTATCATTCACCTAGAAAACTAACATTTCTCTTTAATCGTAACCTTACTAATTTTCACATCATAAATGTAATATTTTAGTTGGTAATCAAGATGTAAAATATCATTATTTTTTCCGTGAATGGAAAATATCATTATCAAGTAATTCATTAGGATAGAAAAAAGTAACAAACTTAAAAAATATTTTGTCGATGAGATAATCATCCGAGCAAGCACGAAGTACATATATAGTGTTAAACTCATGAAACTTTTCTTTTTTACTGAAAACTCATGAAACTTAAAATGTATAGTATATGGTAGAAGACCAAATCAACCTATTTTGCCCCTTTTGCTCCTTCCTCATTTGTCCCATGGCTGAACTGTTTTGATTGAAGCTAAAAGCCTATTATGGTTAGGGTTGGGTAATTTCGGGTTGAGGTCTCTGATTAAGGGTCGGGTCATATTTGGTTGGCTTATTTCGGGTCAAGTATTAACCCAACCCATTCGATTTTGGGCGAGTTGTAGGTCGTTTTGGGTTATGAGCGATCTCAAAATCAATATCAAACATGTTTCATATTTTCTCAAAGAGCACAAATTTTTACATATGCATGACAATAGTTTACTAAACACATGCCAATTAACATATTCTCAAATCCTCTCATGCTAATGAAATGAAATTCAAATTGCGGAAATCGTCAAAAAACAATCACAAGAGTAATACTACTACAAGAAACACATGATATTTGATTATTCTTAAACTCCAAACATGTCATTTAAATCCTTGTATTTTTTTTAAACATCTCACCAATTTATAAGTGATTTTATCATTTTGGGAGTGATATATAAAATGAAACGGGTCTAACAGGTCAACCCGCTACCCCACCCAACCCGACACAAAAAATCACGGATTATCGGGTTCAGGTCATTCGGATTATAAAAATTTCTTCTTATTGGGCGGTTTCAGGTCGGGTCAATAGATCAGGTTGTAATTTGTCACGTCTAATTATGGCGCTTTAGCCACAAAATTTGGACAACGTAAAAAAACACCTACCGAAAACACTATTATTGACTTTGTTTACGTCGAATATGAGTTATCTATGGGAGCAATCACCAAGTTCTCCAAAAAGTAAATATGTAGAATGTAGTGTTAGGCAATATGGATGAACAAAAGTGGGGTTTGTGGTACCGGCAGTGTTGTCATGCCGGCCGGCGTGCCACTGGTTGAACCTGGTTCAACCTGTACCGGTCATAAAACCGGTATGACACCACCGGTATGACCGGCATGATCGATATACGAATCTCCAAGTAAAATGATTTTATCTTCGTGAATTTAATTGATAAAAAGTAATTTATTATTTATTTTATGTGTTAAAAAGTTAAATGTTGATGTTATTTGTTGGATTCAAGTACAAATATTTAGGTATTGACGTTAAATGTCATGTTTAAATATGAGTATTTGTAAATTATTTGTAATATTAACCGGCATGAACCGGCACAAACCGGTATGTACCACCGGTCGAACCATTTCACTTGCTAAACCGGCACACTGGCACAAACCGGTTTGACAACCTTGCCGGTAATAGGCAAGGTTCACTATGATTAATTGTTGACTTCGAGAACCCAGAATGGAGGGTCACATTGTGGGAGGCGACATACATATTATCATACTATTTTACAGTTTCATGTTAGTGGCTGCAATGTGACTCGGTAAATTTCGTGGTGAATAGTATTGGAGTTGTATGTGTCAGAACAGAAGCGTGCAATCGATAACCAGACCAACACGAACGAACATAAAGTTAATGTGGTTCACTAACACAATGTGTGCTAGCTAATCCACGGGTAGGGGAGAACAAATTTCACTGATTTGAGGAGAGTACAGGTTACAAACCAAATTCCGGAACAGACAAACCAAACAAACTAACCTGACTGACCTTACTACAGACTAGGGTGATAAAGAGTATTTATAGAACTCTTCTCCTAATCTCAAATAGAAAACCAAACACCTTTTCCCAAACATATTAGGAAAAGGTCAAACAAAGCCCAAACACAAACTCAAACAAAATAGGCCCAAACACAAAACAAACTCAAATCAAATTCAAGTCATATTCTAACAATCTCCACCTTGACTTGAATTCTCTCTCAAATACCAGATGTACCAGACGCAACCAAAGTTGCTAGATGTACCAGATGCAACCAAAGTTGCCAGAT